TGAAGAATGTTCCTTCCGAGTTTCTCTCCATCTTCTTCTTTGCTGCCTTTTTCTTTTCCTCATAGAGATTCTGGATTTAGGCAGGCTATAAAGGCAGGACTGGCAATACTGGTGGGTGGGGGAGGGCACTCTGAGAGCATCTTCCGTTCCTCATATTGCATTACTAATACAACAAACACTTACTGAAAGCCAAGTGTGTTCTAGGCCCTGCTGCTTGTTTCTGGATACAGGAGTCCCTCTGGGGCAGCTCAGGATCCAAGGCCACAGGAACTGTCCCCCTGACAGCACACTACCAGTCCGGGGTTTCAGGAGGATGGCCAGCCAGGATCAGGACTGGGAAAGTCTCCTTTTCTCCTTTCCTTGCTGGAGGGAATGTCATCAGACTGAGCTGAAAGTAGAATGGACCATCCCTCGGTGGGACCTGAGGGCAAATCATGCTCATTTTCTCCATTCCAATGCAGGAGAAATTTTGACATATAAGAATAATGGCAAAGGTGGAAGCCAAGGTCTAAGAGCTGCCCAACGAGTGTGTGGAATGACAAACCCTCTTCCTGACCACCACTAGTTTGCTTGGGGCAAAGAAGGTTAGAGTAGATTATGGGTAATTGTATGTTTGCAGGTCTCAGTCTTTTAAGTAGTAGCTGGATGGAGAAAGCACAAGGAATATTTACATAGCTTCACCTCTGTGCCAGGACTCAGGCTCTGGACTGCGAAGACAGTGATGACTGAGGCACAGCAGAGACTTTCAAGGAGTTCACAACCTGGGAGGGCTGCCAGCTGAGCATGCAAAGGATGTGTCCTAGAAGGAGGGCTAGAGCAATGCACTCTGGGCCACCAGAGCTGGTGAAGAGCAAAGGGGTGTCTGGGAAAAGTGCACCCAAGGCAGGTGTGTTAAGTTGTATTTTTAAGGAGTTCTCAGGGCAGGAGGTCATTCTGTGCAAAGACAAGAGCGTGAGCAAATGCATAGGGGTGTAAAAACGAGCAGCACATGTAGCAGCAGGAGTGCAGGCTGAGCAGAGAGCAGCAGGAACCCAAGCAGGAAAGGCCAGGTGGGGTTCTATTCCACAGGCCATGGGACCATTGTGGTAAAATCTCTGTTTGAGCAAGACGACTGTGGCAGCAGTGAGAGGGGAGGGTGGCAGTGGGACATCAGGAGGCCTGGACAAGGGCTGCTGAGTTAGCAATGAAGACAGACCCAGCCATGAAGAGGCAGCTGCAGACTCTGGGGGCCCTGGTCATGACTGGTTGTGGGAGTGGCTGTGTGGGAGGGAGGAGCGAGTGTCGGAGGAAATGGAGAAGACAGAGAGGCCTCTGTGCACAGAGTCAGGGTGGGAAACCGACTGAAATAAGGAAACTGTGGCATGAGTTTAGGGGAGCTCTGCTTGGGATACTTGAGCAAGGCATCTGATATGGTCAAGGTCCAAGGCTGCACAGGTAAAAAGGAAGTATATTTCTAGCATTTCGGAGAGAGAGCTGCTCATTTGATAGAAGTGTGTGCGTGGGAATCATCAGCATAGAGGTTACAGCTGAAGTGAGAAAAGACAGTATTTTCCAGAGAGAAGGCACAGTGAGTGGAGGTGAACACAGCTTCTTGGGTAGCAGCCAGAGGCAGGCAGTCAGTATACTTCTGGATGGTGGGGGGCAACATGGAGTCCACGGTTGGTAGAACAAGGCCAGTACAAGGCGGTGTGGGCTTCAGAGAAGATGCTGCTCAGAGAAAGTTGTGCAAATGGGCTAGAGCAGCTTGGGTGTGCATCAGGTCTTGTTAAAACACTGATTGCTGGGCCTCACCTCCAGAGTTTCTAAAACTCTAATTTAGAGTTTCTTCTAATTTCTAACAAGATCTGAAATGCAAATTGATGCTGCCAGTCTGGGGACCACATTTTGAGAACCACTGTATCCATGGTCTAGATTGAGAAACCTGCACTTGAGAAGCTCAAAAGCAAATTCATTGACTTTATTGTGGACCAAGTAGGACATGAAAGGAGAAAGCCAGGCTTTGGTTAAACAGCAGAGGAGAGGAAAAGGTAGAGAATGAAAGACAGCTCCTTGGAAATAGAATGGATGCTACTGAGGACACCAGGATGGGGACAGAGAGGAGGGAAACAAAAGGGTTGGCAAGAGAATGGCTGAAAGAAGAGACGGGAGGTGAACTCAACAGTCCAAGCAGGTTTATTGCTGAACCTGAGAGGGACCCCTCTGTCCTGGCCAGCAGAACAAAGGGGAGGGTCGCTAGCAGGTCAAGAGGCTTTTTATGGCCAGGGCTTTGGCGGGCTCTTTGAGGGGAGGGGTCAGGGGAAAGGTGGGCTTTTGGCTTGCTGACGTGTCCTCTGGAGGATACTTGTAGCCAAGGTAAGATGACATCTAGGTCACTCGGTGATGGTAGGTGGGCTTCTTTGAAAGGTGGTACTCAGGTCTGGATTCTATCATTAACTGTGAATGTTTTTGGCCTGGGATATGATAAAGCCAGAGGAGGGGGCCTAGGGGCCACAGCCATGGCTATGAGTATGGGTCACATGAAGAGGGTGATAATGAGTTAGGCAAAGAGGAGTATGGGGATTAAATCTGCAGAGTTCTGTTTGGAGTCCTGGCCAAAAGTCTAGACTCCCCCTTCTCAGAAGCCTCATCCCTCTCCCTTATCCATCTCTTGGAACCTTCTAGAGTCATTGCTAGCTTCTGAGCCTCAGGCCTTCTCAAGCAGAACAGAGGCAGCTGCCGTATACCAGGGGTCAACCTCTCAGAAGGAGGTTACTCTCAGAGCAAGATGGCCTGGTGCTTTTTTCATTTTCCTTCCAAGATCTCAGACCAGAGACCCTGACCCGTATGAGGAGGCTCCTGACCTCAATGCTAGACATCCTTCTGGGGCTGACCCACCCTGCCAGAGCTTGAGGCACAGAACTTGAGTCTTATTTCTTATCAGTGGAACGAGTCCATAAAGAAAATTCAATTCATCGGTGTCCAGGAGAACATTACCAAGATAGACGAGACACCATGGACAGTATTTAATTATGAGCAGGCAGAGCAAATAGGAGGGACGCAATAAAAATGCTAATCAGGGAGGTAAAAAACCAGACTTTATTCCCTTCTAGAACAGACTAAATCTCATCCTACTTGCTCCACTCCCAGACCCCAAATAAGTCCTGCAGGCCCGGTTCTGACTGTGACTTTTTGACAGGTGACTAGCCTCAGCCCCTGGCATCTTCCTACTTCCATCCTTCCAGCATCCCAGTTCCTAGAAAATCTGGCCCAGGGGGAGGGAGGCTGGCTTTTCTTGCAAGCACACAGCTTCTATTTCATCCAGGGAGAGCTGGCAGGGTACTTGGAAAGTGAATGAAATTATTATTCAGGGCTCAATTCCATGTCCTGGGGAGCACGTCAGGAAAGGACCATCTCCCCTTTCAGTAGCACATGCAGAATCTGCACGAGGAAGGAGCACAGCTGGACAAATGCCCTGAGACCAGCCTGAATTCAATGCGTGGGGCTGAGTCTCTGACTGGCAAGTCAGTCCAACTCAGAGCCACTTAGGAAGAGACTCGAGACACTCAGCCAGGCCCAAAGCCTCATGTTGCCAATTCCATTCAACTTGGCTGAGCTCAACTTTGGAGTGTGGTTCAGGATTTTGCAGGTCATTCCTGTCTCACTGCCAAGTTGGCCAACTCCTCATTCACCCTGATCCTGTGGGTCACTTGTCCATCCTTGCTAGCTTGTTCAACTTCCACACTGCTGCTAAAGACAGATTTATTTCTCTTGTTTCCTTTGGTCTCTGGGATGCCTGGACTCCTGGTCTCATGCTGGTTTTAGATAAAACTTGCTTTCTTTGCATCCGGGAGGATCTTGACTCAGCCCAGGCCCTTTCCCTAGGCTGGCCTCTTGTGTTTACTGGGCTCACCAGTCACCCTGGCTGGTGTCCATGCAAGTTACTGCTCTCTTCATTAGTCTCTCTCCTGCCTCCTTAAACCTTATTCAGCCATGAGCTTTTCCCAACATCCTCAGGGCAGGAAGTAGCCTAAGGATTGTCTGGTATCATCCTGGTTATCCTGGATCGTCTCCCCTACACGGAGACGACATACACTACACGGAGACAACATAGGCCCTTAACTCCTGGCTACTGTCTCTTCCTTGGAAAATATGTTAGGTAAGAAGTTTATATGCCAGCTCTCTTACCTGCTGTGGGATCTTGGACAAGTTATTTAATATCTTTGTGCCTCAGTTTCCTCATCTGACACATGGAGATAACAACATTACCTACCTCAGATTTTTTATAAGAACTTAATGCAAGTGTATACCAAGAGCTTCGAAGAGTGCCTGCCACATAATAGGCACTCAGAAAGTGTTAGCTAGCTTCATTACCATTATTGCTGTGATATTTATTACTAAGGCTAATTATTATTTTATTTGCCTATATGTCCAGGTACTTGGTAGAGGGTCTGACATGAATAAACACTTAATAATCATTGAATCAATGAGTGATTGGACTTTTAAGCCAAGTCTTCCAATGATATTGCCCTTCCCAGGAAAATTTAAATTTAAAGAACAAGTCTGCACATTGATGACAATGATTAACACATCAATGGCTACTTGTGTGGTTCCAAGTGTCTCAGGGGAAGGGATTTAGAGTCAATGGTTGTTTTCATTTCAAGTCAGTTACTCAAAATACAGCTAACTTTGGTTTGGAAGCTCATTGTTATCTTCCCTCAGGTGTAATCTCCTTCCAAACTCTAAAGCAATAAAAACTTGGAAACCAGCAAGAGGATAAAGGAAACCCTTCCAGCAACAGAAGCAATATTTCCTGGGTCTGCCCTGTCCTCCAGTCACCACAGCCTGCATATGTGTGGAAGCTGTAAAGCCCACGTGGGCTTGTTCACTATGAGACAAGGGGAGAGGGCTGCAGGCCAGCTGAACACAGAGCCTGGCATGTGGGTCTCCTGGACTTGGCACCCAGACCCTCCTGGGAGAGTCTTGCCCCTTCTACACCTCACCAGAGTTCTGGTAAGGGAGAGTGGAAATCTTTTGAATAAGTGTTTCTGGAAGGTTGTGCTGTGAATCTGCTATGGGCCTCCAGGATGGGATTTGGGCTGGGAAACAGCTGTCCATTTCAAATTCAGAGGCACGGGGTGAACACAGGACTGGGAGCAGCAAAAGTGCCCCATGGTACCATGTCCTGCAGCAGACATCTACTGTCACAGATGTCATCACGTGTGTTTCTCACAACAGATGACTGAGGGGATTGGGACCTTAATTCCTTTTTCTTTCCTTTGGTGTTCCTTTAAAATACAACTAACCCTTGAACAATACAGGTGTTAGGACTGTCAATTCCCCTGGCCCCATACAGTCGAAAATGCACATGTAACTTTTGAGACCCCCCAAACTTAATTACTAATAGCTTACTGCTGACCTGAAGCCTTACTGATAACATAAAAGTCAATTAACATGTATTTTGTATGTTTTATATTCTATACTGTAATTCTTCCATTAAGTAAGCTAGAGAAATTTTTTTTGAATTGTGGCAAATATTCTAAATGTTTTACAATATATGTACTAAAAACAAACGTGTACATAAGTGGACCCACACAGTTCAAACCTGTGTTGTTCAAACCAAGGGTTGACTGGATATTATTTATTTTCATGTAATTCTAAATTTAAGAGGTTCCAAAATCTCTGCAGTGGAAAGCCTGTCTTCCTCATATGTAACCACCCACATTGCTTCCTCAGTGCAACCAGAGGTCACCTGTTCCCTGAGAAAGCTTCCAGAGATACTTTATATATACAAGCAAATACCTGTAGTCTACCCCTCCTTTATACACTTTAAAGCTTGCTTTACACACTCTTATGTGCCTTGAATTTTTTTCATAATAATTTATTTTGGAGGTTACTCAATATCAATATGTGTACATTTACATCATTCTTATTGTGGATACATAGTATCATATAAATTGTTCTATTTTAACACGTCCAATTTAATTCTTTCCAACCCTTAACTTTGACAAATAATACTGTAATAAAGGACCTGTGGGCAATTATATCTGAAGGAAGCATGCAAGCGTATTTGAAGATAAATTCTGGAAGAGGAATTGTTGGTCAAAGGCTATCCATTTGTAAATTTGATAGTTATTGACAAATTGCCTTCTATATAGGTAGCCCATTTTTTTTAGAGATGACAAAATTGGAGTTTAAAGAGGGTAAGTGACTTGACTAAAGTCATATAAAGCAACTGGGAGGGAACCAAGGTTTTTGTTCTCAGTCCAAGACTCTCTGGGCCCATGGGCCCAAAGAAATCAGGGACATAAAAGAAACATCAGCTAGATTCCTGAACTGTAATAAAATCCACAGTTTCACATACTAAACATTAAATACTGTTGATTCAACTTTGAGAAGTCATAGAACCTGCCCTCAGGGAACCTACAGCCTAGGAGAGAGAGAGACAAGTAAAAAGCACTTTTGATTCAGCATATGGGATAAGGGAAATATATAAGGAGACCCAGTGAGAACATGGGAAGAGCCCCTGATTTAGATTTGGTTTCCTGAAACAGGAGGCATTTAAGTTAACATTAGATTATCTAAAATTGTCCTCTGTAACCTGAATTATAACTACCCTCTTCTTCAACCCTCACAGTTTCCCATCCCAAACCTTTTATCAAAGTTATTGCTAAGTAGCAAAATGGATTGCTTTGTGAAAGCATGGTCTAGTTGGAATAACAATAAAGGCTAATGCACACTGAGTTCCCGCTGTGTGTCAGGCTGCTTTCTGGCTCAGCCATGAACCAGCCATGTGACCCGGAGCAGGTAACATCTCCCATGTGTGCGTTAGTGCTCAAATCTTTTAAGTAAAACAGTTAATCCGATGACCCCATCAGTCTCACATGCTATGGCTCTGTCTCTAAAATCGTTGAGGCCTCTGCTGGTGGATGATGGACAAGTGTGCCGGAACAATGGATTCGGGAAAAGGAGCAGAAGGACTGGAGAGTCCTCAAGCTGGCAAATCAGCCTTGGGAAATTTGATTTTGAGAGGAGATGTCACACATATCAGATAAATAATAATACTGACATCTTTCTGTTAAATTTTTCCAAGGTCATTTCATATGCTACTTCATGAGGCTGGGCTGGTAGGCTACACAGCTCAGGCCCCACAGCAGGGCAGTGGTACAGCTTGGGCTGGGACCCAGTCTTCTTTCCTGAAACCTGACTAATTCTATTCTCTGATTCCATATGGGAAGGAAAATTCTGGTAGGGAGCAATCCAGAGTCCCCAAGGCCCCCAGAAGCCTGAACTTAAATAAACTTTGAGGTGCTGCCTCTCCTCCTTCACTACCATCAGAGGGCACACTAACTCTCTCTGGGTGCTGGAACCAGAACTGTATTTCCGCAGGATTAGTCTAACAAGTGCTTTGGGTGACTTGGTACCCATCTGTCTGGCTGCTCGTCCTTCGACTCAGCTGTGGCAGACTTCTGCCCAGTTCTAGCACCAGCCTTCATGCTCTTGATAACCTGCCCACCCCGACTCCTCTGAGCCCAGGCCCTGCCCTGCCTTTCTCCATGGGTCCTTCGTCTCTGGGAGTCCAGCTTGAGGCCAAGATCCCAGGACATCCCCAGGACATAACCTGTTTCTAGGTCCCCTCTTCTGGGCTTTGTTCAATGACTTTGTTTGCTCAACCTCCCTAACACTGACCACCTGTTAGGAAGACTGTCTAGCTCTGAGATCTTTTTCAAATAATTTTGTGCCTGCTGGGCTGCCCACCTCCCATAGCCTACAGCTAGATTTACCCCTAAGCTGCTCACTCACAATGCTATGCCCCACATCCAGGCCCAGTCTGGGTGATCTAGTGATGTGGATGTGATGTGTGCAATCTTTGAATTCTGTTTTGACAGCCTCCCACCCCACCCCCCAATCAGAGCTGGAAGCTGATGAAGTGGGTAACCTGGGGGTGACTTGCTATCTGACCCTTTCTGGAGGTCTTTGGCCCATCTGTGAAAGTGCCCCCTAGGTTCCCTTTCCTTGCAAGTTGAATGAGAACACAGCTATTTGGCCCCTTGAGGGAAGGCTCTGTCTGAAAACAGACGTGATTACTATTTCCATCACCTTTATAATCCTTTAATCACACACTTGCAGCAGGGAGTCTGGGCAGGGTGAGTCCATTTATATAAACAGCAGGAAAAATGAGGTTCTGTGCTATATGCCAACCATGCTTAGCAGAAATGTAAGAATCTCTGGCTTTTCATGAGCAGAAAAATGAATAATCCAGGTGTTTATCCTGAAACAGCTCACTTTCAAACTGCTGGGGCCTGTGCTCACATTGTGAAGGCTTGGAGAGGGACATATCAGCCCTAGAGGGCCCAAGGGGATGCAGGCCTGAGCCCTCTGCTCTCTCAGTGGGTTGGACAGTATGGAAAGACAGGCTCTCTGGGCAGCTGACTGCCCCTGAACAAGGCATCTCGCATACTTGTGGCCCTTGGGTCCTAGAAGTATTAATCTTGAAGTCTGTCCCTATCATGAATGAGATAAGAGGTCTCATGGGGGTTCAAAAAACATTGTTCAGAATGGGTCCCTAGCAGATAGGGTTGTGTGCGTGTGTGTGTGTGTGTGTGTGTGTGTGTGAGAGAGAGAGAGAGGGTGGGGGGAACGTCCCACCAGGGCTTCCAACCACTGGTCCAGATGGCAGAGGCAAAGAGAGGCCTTGGTGATGGTACAGTGATCCTCTACTCAGAGAAGAGCCAAGACTTGGCTGAACAGTCAGGATACAGCTCTGCGCCATGTATCTCTCATCCTCCTCTGGGACCAATGAGATGGCAGAGACATCTGAAGGTGAGCAGAAATATGCAATGCCTCTTAAAACTTAGGCTCAAAACTGTCATATTGTCACATGGCCAAAGATGAAGTAAAGGATTGAGGAAATCTACTCTACTCTTTTATGGGAATAAATGCAAAGTCATAAAGCACAGGGCATGAATAGAGAGGGGTGACAAATTTGGGTTAATCATACAAGCCTGCATAACCCAACCAGATGGCAGAATTACACTCTGTCCCTTGATGCTCTTGCAGAGGTGTCTCTCCCCACCCCTAATATGCTCAAGCCAGGTTTAGAGCCTTCTGCCTGGGAGACAAGAGATGGATGAGATGATGGGGGACACATTGAAGAAGACTCAGTTGGCCCAAAGTAAATTGGCTGCCTGATTCCCTCTCCATCTTCTCCTGGGTAGAAAGTGAGCACATAAAGAATAGAAAGACAAAATTTGCACTGAGACAAATAATTACTTCAATCTTGTTAGTAGTTAGGTCCTAATGAGTTGTAATTTCCCTGGGAAAATAAAGCGACCATAGGAACATACAGCAAGGAATGGAAAATGGACAACACTACAATTTCAGGTCACGTGCCCCAGGTGACCACTACAGTGTGAACAGGAAAGATGAACAATGCTGTGCCCAACTTCAAATGGAGACCAGCAGGTAGTGCTAAGATCTTGCAAATGATCTGAACAGCGATTTCACAGAATCTTGGTAAAAGAGCTTGGCTTTGGAAGACCCCGGACTCTTCAAGCTAATGGGTCCACAACACAGACTGTTAAGTTTCCATCAGCACAGAATGGCTGTGAATTTAGCTATGGTGACAGCAGCTCTCACAGTTTTCCAAAAATCTGTGCATGAAACTTCTCCTTCCCAGCCATGCAGCCCTCCCCACCCCTCAAATTAAATCAACCCTATTGTTTTCTTCCCTGACATAAAGTGTATTATTTCACAATGTCTCAGCTACAAGAGGTTACCAAAAGAAAGCTAAATTGGGGTTTTTTTTCAGCTTCTTGACTTTTCCCTGTTACCCTAGCTCATTTTCAGTGACATTTGAACACTTTGGTAAGGAATTAACTCTACCATTTTAGGCACAAAGAAAAGAAGCTTTAAATTAATTTTCAGCAAGGGATACTATTGGTCCAGGCAACTTCCCTCCCACTGTATTAACATCAATGTCTTGTCTCATTAAATACCTATAAACAGTGTAACACTCTAACAAGCCACAAATTGGCTTATTGACACCTCTCTCGGCTGTGCTCTGCTTCCCAAATCCCCTGCTTTAGAGACATAGGGAGGTTATACAAAATGGAGGCTCTATTGAAACATCAGAAGGAGGGGACATTGTCAGCATCTGGGTTCCCTGGCTGCTCATTTTTAATGGGCCTGACTTTCAGCTAATCATACATTGTATTAATTTGGTTTCTCTGTCCTCCAGGGTACATTTGGGGCACATGTGTCTGTGGCTTCTCTACTGCCATTCCCAATCCTCTTCACTTTCTCAAGGAAAGCCCCATTGGCTGTTACACTGGGCAGTCCTCACCATAATTTTTCTGGTATTCAATTCAAACATTATTTTTCACATTCATGTTGCTATGAACTTACATAGAAAATCTCTTTATAGTTCTCCCAGGGACAGAGCAGTGGTAGAGTGATGAGTGATATCAATAATAGGAAAGATTCTAAAAACCAGTGCAGGGTGCTGACCTGGGAGATAGCATTCCTGCCCCCAGACTTGTCCCTCATTTAGCACAGCTGGGGAAGTTGGTCCATACTTTTCCAGCTCTTCTCAGAGGCATGGAACTCCTGGAGACTGGGAATTGGGTTTAGTGTGGGTGTGTGTCCACACATCAGTCATTGGATATACAGGAGGTTGCAGGTATGGAGACTGGGGAAAAAGCTGGTAGAGAACAAAGATTGACCCACTCAAGGTAACTCTGGTCATGGATGCTTTTGCAGTCTTCCTTTGCCGCTCCTTCCTTGGTGCTTGAGGGCTCTGGGGATCCCTCCCTTCAATCTACCCTCACTCGGAGGTCATCTCCTCTAGCCTTTGGGCTCTAAATATCTAACAGCTCCTACATTGTTGTGGTTTTTTTCCCTCCAATTTTATGGAGAAATAATTGACATACATCACTGTCTAAGCTTAAGGCATATAGCATGATAATTTGATTTACATATATTGTGAACTGATTACTGCCAGGAGGTTCAAACTAACATTTGTCATCTCATATGGATACAATAAAAAGAAAATTAAAAAAAGAGAAAAATGTATTTTCTGTGATGAAAACTCTTAGGGTTCACTCTCTTAACTTTTCATCCTTCATTGCTTTTATCTCTTTCCAGACGCCTCCCCTGAACTGCCGCTTCTCATCGCCACGGGATGTCTAGTGGGAATCTCGAACTTCACTTGCCCCGAACTCCTGATTTCTCCCTCTAAACCTGCTCCACCTACAGTCTTTCCCATGTCAGTAAGTGGCAACTTCATTTTACCAGATACTCAGGACAAAAACCTCTTTCCTTCATACCCCACATCCAATCCATCATCAAACCTTACTGGCTCTGTCTTCCAAGTATATCCGGAATCTACCACTTCTCAGCGCCTTATCCCATCTCCTCTTGTCTGAGCCATCAATCTTGCCCATGGCCTTGCTGGGCCCAGCCTTACAGTCTATTCTCAACAGCCATCAGTGATCCTTTTAAAATGTGTGTCAGATCACGTCACTCCCTGCCAAAATCCTCCTTAGAGAAAAGCCCAAGTCCTCACAATGGCCTCCAAAGCCATACAAAACCTGGCCCCACAACCTCTCTGGCTTCATCTCCCCACTTGCTCACTTTGTTCTGGACGTTTTGGCCTTCTTGCTCTCCCTCAAGTCTGCTAGTCACTCTCCTACCTCAAGGCTTTTGCAAATGCTGCTCTCTATGCAAGGAATGCTTTTCCTCAGATCATGAGAAGGTTCACCCCCTCCACTCTTGTATGTCTGTTCACTAAGGCCTTCCCTGACCACCCACTATGTAACATTGTACCTCTATCTCCAGAGCTGAATTCCTTATATTTTCTTTAGCATATTTGTCACCATCGTATTTTACTTACACATTTGTCTGTCTTCTCCATTAGCATAGAAGTTCCGTTATAGCAGGTTTTTTTGGAAGGGGTCTGCTTGATCATTGCTATTTCCCAGCATATAACACGAACGAAATAGCCATGAATGAATGAATGAGTGAGTGCTTTTATCCCTCTAAATCTCTGCTGGAACCTCAGGTAAACATAGAGGCATGATGGGAGGAAAGTCCAAGAAAGGGGTCCTTTCCCCTGCTCCTCACAGCTGTTCCCTCAGTCCAGAATATTCTTCTTTCCTTCACCTAACTCCAACTCATCCTTGAGGGGTCAACTTAATATTACTTCTTCAGCCAAAGGGACTAAATTAGGCTCCTGCTAAATGCTTCTGTAGTTTCAGTATTTCTTTTCATAGCACTTTGCATGCTCAGAATCTTGTAATAAATTATTCATAGCTATTGTTTAATGTCTGTTTTTTTCCCACTAGACTGAGTATGGCCAGGCAGGGACTGTATCCATCTTCCCCTACAGCTGGGTCCTGGCGTGAAGCACATGGCTTGGCACATGTCACATGCTCAGTGGCAGTAGACACTTGAGAGATCATGGGATTTAAAATGTGCAGTGGAAGGTTGAGACATGGAGAAGCCTGCCCACCATGTCACAGGTAGGCTCCCACATATAGTGTTGAATATTTATTTATTTATTTATTTATTTTTCAATTTCTAATGTTGAATATTTAAATGAGAGATGGAAACCTTTCCAGGGAGGAGATGAGGCCAGGCCCACCTGAGTTGTGTGAGGCAGCCAGGTAGGTCTGTGTTTGACCCCTTAGCCCTTCTGATTGGGACACTCATTGTCACATTATGAGTTCAGTTTGCAAATCCAGCTTCCAGAGACCTTCCCTTGCTCAGAGTCAGGATCTGCTACTTGTGGGTAAGGAACGCCCTGCTCAAGATCTTGATCTTGGCTTTCACATGTCAGGCAGCCATCAGGGGTTTTACCCAAGAGGGAAAAAAAAGCATTTTTCTCACTCAATTGAAAGTACATACAATTTTAGAGCTGGAGGAGACCATTTAATCCTGCACCCTCATTTCACAGAAGAGAAAACTGAGGCTTAAAAGATTTGAATGACTGGCCTGAGGTCACACACATATTAAAGACAGAACAGAGCTAAAAATCCAGAAATCTCATATCAACATGTGCTCTTCTCACTTGCAACAATTATGATTTTTTTCTTCTCCCCTGAAATAAAACTCCTTTTGAAAGAAGCTTAGCAATAACATGAAGAAATAAAAGTTTCTTAAAAAGTAAACTATTACACTTTAACAAGTACTTTAAAAAAGTACTGGTGAGCTAAATATAATGTGTTACCTTTATTAACGCTTAACTGTGGATTTGAATTTAACCTGATTTCTTTCCCTAAGGCTTGAGTAGAAGCCTTCTTTCAGCTCACCCTGACTTCTTAGTTGTCAGCTTCCCAGCCCCAGACCAGGTCCAAGACTGCCATGTTCACTCAACTTTCTGACTCAAGGCGCTTCTCGTGTGAGGGCGGATCATTCCTCTCCTGGGCTGATGAAGTGCACGCATGAACTCTGTTTTCTGGTCTCCTTCCTTCTTCTCCCGCCCCTCCCCCTCCTCCCTTCCCCCTTCTGTCCTCTCCCTGATGCTGTTATTCTGCTGAAAACCTGATTCTCTTTTCTCCGGTTTCCACTTGCTTCATTTACACTTCATTGTGGATAAATTTGGTTTTGCTTGAAGTTTTCTGGTAATTTGAATATAATCAGTAAGATTTCTCGAAGACATTCTTATAGCTGTAATGCAAACTTGGTTTTTTGACTAATAATTATTACTATAAATGACTAATAGTTATTACTATCAGGGTACAGAGGCCAGGGAAGTGGGAAAGATCCTGTTCACCTGCCAGGCAATTAGAATCAGTCAGGACACGTAGGCCTGGTGAGTTGCTGAGCAGGTGTGTATGGTGATACCTCTCACCACTGCACTGCCAGGCCCTGGTCCAAGCCACCACCATCTCTGACCTGAATTTCTGCGTTAGCCTCCTCACAGGTCTCCCTGCTCCTACCCTTGCTTCAATCCTCCACAGTCTGTTCTCAATGCACCAGCCACCATGATTTATCCAAAACGGAAATGTGGTCCTGTCACCCCTCAGCCCCAAGCCCTGTAATGGTTCTCCGCTCCTCAGAGAGAAAGCTGAGTGTAAGCACTCACCCCAACCTGGAGGACTCCCTTCTCCTTTGGTTAATTCTCTGATTTCCTTTCCTATTGCTCATCACTCATTCCTGACCCTCTGTGCACCTCGCACACCAGCCCCCTTGCTATCCCTCCAACACACTGATAGCCCTGCTCTAAAGCCTTTCTACTGGCCGTTCCACTAGGTAGGTACCCTTACTTCTGCCACGCCTTTGTTCCCATCATGCACTCTCAATGCAGACCGACTACATGGACTAATATGTCCACCTGCCCATACCCTGCACTCCCAATCTCCTTAACCTGTTCTACTTTATCTTTTTACTCACAACACATACCACCTTCCAGCATTCTATACAATGTACTACACACGTTTATTGTTCATTGTCTGTCTTCCCAGCAAGGATGTTAGTTCTCTGAAGGGAGGAATCTATTTCATTCCCGTTTGTTCCCAAGCACCCAGAACAGGTGCTGGTGCAGAGCAGGTGCCCAAGAAATACCTGCTGAATTGAATTGCTTAGTTGCTGAGGAACTACTGATAGTTAGCAGCCAACACTTTGTGAGCATTTCCTCCTTGCCAGGCATTGATCTCAGCTTTGTAACTGTAACTCATTTGATAGACAGTTAGTGCTAAGCTGTGACTGTTTTGAGTCCCTCTAAGCTATGAAATGCTACTTGTGGGTTTTGCAAGTGATTCTCAGGCAGGTGAAACTTGTAGTCTTGGGTAAGGTGGGACTGAGAGGGGCTAAAAGGAGAAGGGGAGGGTACTTGCAGTTGCCAAATGATTCAATACACCAGTTTTTTTATAGTTCAAATTACAGAAATAGCCTTCAAGATATTCTATTCTACTAGCTGGGTTAGGACAGGAGGAATAAGCAAATGGAGTAAGAAAGAATTACAGGTGGTTTGAGTGCAAAAGAGGTCCCGAAACGCAGCATGCATACTACAGGCAAATAGAAACACAAAGGTCAAGAGGATTGGAAAGATACTGCTGATTTTCTGGTGTGATGCTCAAAGTTAAAAGCACACTGAAATTTGACTTTTAAAAGTTCATATGGGATCTGAGCTCCCTGAGCCACTCAAACCAGTGGGTCCCCGCTAGCCGTGAGGCATGGTAGCTCAGATTTCTCAGGCTCTGGCTCTGCCCGCCCCCTGGAGACCCAAGCGCCCTGTGGAGCCCTGCTCTTGCTGGAGACTCTCGGAGCTGTTGGTGTCTGTCTTGAGTGGAGTGGGGTGGGGAGAGCTGTCACACATTCACAGTTACTTTGGTCATTTGGGCGCTGCTGTGCCCACAGACCTGCGCTGTCTGAAAGGTGTTGTGGGCACTTGACCCCCACCTGATCTAAACTGAGGTGTGCTCGTGTGCAAAATACACACTGGACTTCAAGCACGCAGTGCCAAAAATATGAAGTATCTTAGTAAAATCTTTCTCATGTTGATTCAGGCTGAAATGACTGTTTTAGAGCTATGGCATTAAATGAACTACAATGAAATCATAAATTAATTATAAAGCAATTTTACTTATTTTGTTGTTGTTTTTTGTTGTTTTTTAAAGCAGCTGCTAGAAAAGTTAAAACTACATCTGTGGTTCCACTGTGGCTGATACTGTATTTCTGCTGTACGTCCCTGCCTTGGAAGCTCCTGGGTCCCAGGGGACCAGGGCACCCTTTTGCCACCACCCCCATCTCCATGCTGAATGTCGCTGTCACCTCCGCTGAACAGGATCTCTGCTCCTCCTGTAGGTTCTGTGCCATCTACCAGACAGAACCATCAACCTCTGCAGCTCCTGCAGCCCTAAAGCAGGCGCTTCCACCCAGCATGAGTCCTCGAGATCTTCAAGCAGCCAGCGCCCCGGGGCAGGGTGGAGGAGCGGAGCGTCTCCTTCCCCTTTGTGCTTCTATTGAGAGGCCCAGAGCAGAGAAAGCTGTTAGTGCTCCAGCATCTCAGAGTGCACAGAGGCCTTTTCTTTTTTTATTTACTGCCGTCTCTGCGGGAAAACAATGGAGGTTGGCCAGGATCAGACTTTTGCTTTGTTTTGTTTCCTATATATTATATATTTGCTTTTTAAAAAAACCCTTTCAAATAAATTTTACTGAGGTATGATTTATATGCAATAAAAATAAAATGTATCTGTTTGAAGCAGATAGTCTGATGAGTCTTGACAAATGACAAACTTGTGTGGCATCATCCTAATCGTGATTTAGAACTTCTTCACCAGTCTGCCTGACTGCCTGAGTCCTGGCCCAGCAGAAGTCCCTGTGACATGAAGGGTTTTTGTCTTGTTTGTTTTTAATTTTGTTTGGAGAACTATAAAGTGACTCAGACACATCTGTCAATGTAAGGTGGCTTCAAGGAAGAGGTATTGTTATTGTTTTCCTTAGCAGAGTTCACAGAAAGGAAAGGCAATCGATAGTTAGTAGAACTGGGAGAGCAGTGACATGGCAGGGCCCTGTGTGATTTGGCCCCACAGGTCTCTTCAGTTCTACCTCACACTGTTTTATCCTCCCTTGCTGCAGTCTTGCCCCACTGGATCTTATTTTAGTTTTTCAACCACACCAAGATCTTTGCTTCCTCAGGGCTTTTGCACAAACCACTGCCATAAGTTGGAGAGGTCTTTGCCCTCTGTCTGCATAGCTGGTTCTTTTTCATCCTCAGCTAAAATGGCACCATCTCATAAAGGACTTCTCAGACAATGCAATCTACAAGTAGATCCCTCTTGTTACTCCTTTTCTTTATAATGTTTATCCCCGTTTATTGTATATTAATTTACTTGTATGTGTGTTTAGTATTTATCTCCCACAAGACTATGGCCTTTGTGAAAGTAGAAAATGTTCTGTACCATATTGTATTATTTGTTTACAATGACTTGTTCTTTCCTGCACTTGCCATGACTCACCTGTGCATGCAGTATTATTCCTCACCTCACTGACTGTCACCTTGGCCTTGTCACCTACTCTGGCTAATGGCATATCAGTGTAAGTAAAGCACAGAACGTCTGATCAGAGGGTTTAAACATGCCAGCATGGTTTGGCTTGATTCCTCAGGGTTACCTTTTCCTGCCATGAGAAGAACTTCCCTACATAGCTGCTGTTTCCTCTTCCTGGGACCAGCAGTGAGGACCCTGGAAGCAGACTGCACCCAATCCTGAACGCTGAAGAGGAGCTCTCCCAGCCAGGCTGCAGCTCTGTGAGCAAGAAAAATAAATGTTTGCTGCTGACAGCCGCTGGTATTTGGGGGTATTTCTTACTCAGCATTCTGGCAGCAAGGGTGTCCTATCACATGGCTGATCACACAGCGGCACTTGGCACCTGTGTTGAGTGAATGAAGGGAAAGTTTTCCTTTGCAAAGCCGAAAGGTGGAGTATCTTGGTGACTTTGGAAGCTCATACTCAAGAAGAAAGGAAGGGGTGGGCTAAGGCATAGGAAGAAAGAAGAGCCCAAAGATTCTTCAGGGCAAATTTTGGAAAAAGAGCCTTGTGGCCTAGGGAAGAACTTTGAATTTGGTCCCTAAAGCCAACACTAGTGTTTAAAGTGTCCTAATCAAAGTTCTAAAACAGAAGATATTTTCGGAACGTAGAATATTGACTGGGGGTGAGCCAGGAATTAAGATTGAGGCATATAATCTTTGAAAGTACAGAACCATAGCACAGAAGTGGAGATCTAATCCAGCAGAGAAGAGCAGCTTGCCCATAGTCATCTCTCTGGGGACAGGATGGAGACAATTTTCCACATCTTGTTTTTCCCTATGCCCTTTCCACTACTCCATGTTGAGACTGATCAAGTTTGATGGGGGAAAAGAGGATGGGGCATATTTGGGATGACATGTCAGTTCTCATGAAGATCACGTTTGAGGGATAGCTCCTTGCTGCCCTTCCAAAAATGTCTTCATGGGAGAGGGCTATGGGGCATGAACTGAAGACTAGAGCAAGGGGTCCCCTGTGGTTTGAATCTAAAATCACCTCTTTGAAACACGGCAGGTTACTGAGGGCTCTCCAAAGACTCAGTCACATTGACTTGAACCCAAGTATGGCCAGATTTTTAGGAGTGCAAGTCTTCTGCCCTACAATCCCATTCTGAACCCTGACCCCCACCCCAGAACAGCATACAGGCTGGGTTCAGGGCATTTCATTAATGCAGCCCAGAGACATCCATGCCTGTCCAGAGGTTGATTGTCCCCTGTGTAGGCAGCGTGGCCCCAGGCAGAGGTGCTGGGAGACGTGTGCCTCCTCTGTAAGAGGTGGCTGCCCCATCAGCTGCTGCTGCTCTCCTTAGCACCTTGCCAGCCTGTCTGGCTCCACACTGGGTAGGTTTGTTCACCGACAATCTTGTCAGATGTTCCCAAGAAAGGCTGTGGCTGAGGGAAATGGAACACATCAATATTTTGTCACTTTCCTAGGCTTTGCTGAGTCTGGAATCCCAGGGGGCCTGGCAGTGACTTAGAGTTAAACTCGTCCCATTTGCATTCTCTGCCTTCTCCACAACCCCAACACATTCCTCGGTCAGGGACCTGAAGAGAGAACATGCAAGGTTCCCACAAAAACATCAACAGGTTTTTACCCAAATTTTAGGCATCTCCGAGAGAGAGAGTTCTGTTAGCAAGAAGACTCCATCTAGCCTGAGAAACTAAGACAAAACAGGTCATGCTGACACAGGAGCCCCCCATGGTCATCGCTTGGGACCCCATCTAATAACTGCAAATGGGGGAGAATGGAATAGGTCAAAGTCTAGAATCAGATCTGCCCACTGAGGGAGGGAAGACCTTGAAGGAACAAAATCAGAGACTTGATGTCCTATCGAATAGGTTGAATGTCAGTATCTCTTTAAATGTAGAGTCAGCTTAGGGGAACAGGGTCTTCCACTTCTCATCTCCCTGCCTGTCTGCACATTTCATCCTGAAGAGAGTTCCAGGCTGGAAGCAGAACACCCCAGAAGACAGAGCTAAGGTTTCACAGACCAGGCTGGGTGGGCCGCTGGCTTCTGCCTGGAGAACCTAAAGCAACGTCCAGGGATCAGCAAACTGCCCTGCCCTTTGCCTGGGCCCTTTGCAGTGCATGGAAGGAAAGTCCTACATGCCTCAGAGTCTGTTGATGGTGCTAGAGACTGGGGACAGCTTGGGCTATGAGGGGGCAGGCCCTTTCCTGTGGTAATAGTGGGGATTAGGGAAGGAGACACAGAGGGATTAGACTGGGAAGAAGTAGCCTAAGTTCCTAGGAACTCTGCCCACTAAAAGGTCAATTGCCTGGGTGGTCATGTGGACATTGCCACACTTTGCTAAGGAGGTGATGAGCAGCCCCCAAACCCGGGCAGAGGATGAGCAGCCTCTCTCTCTCTTTCATAACTGCTCATCTTCCCACTACAGGCAAGGGGGGGCTGCTCCTTAGAGGGTAGTCTCACTGCATCCTGGCTGCAGGTCAGATTCCTGGTGTGGCTTCAGCTTCTGGCACTCAAGAAACTGAAAGAGAGCATGCTGGAGGTGGAAAAACACCACAGCTTAATATATTTTGAAGGACAGTGAAAAAAGACCTTGGCCCCAAATCAGATTGTTCCTGATCTAAAATTAAAAGCGACTTAAACCTTACCATTTGAGAAGAAAGGCAGATAATGGTTATGAGGGTGGAGAACGATTGCTTTTCTTTTCACCTCCTGGCTGTGAGCAGACCTTCCCAAGATTTCTCTGGACAGGATTTATTTACTGTCTTAAAAAAAAAACTTTGGACTTTGCATGAAGATTTGCAAATGCCAGGCACACGGCATGCCGGGTGCCCAGCCAAACCTCTTGTGGTTAGCCTTGAAATGAGATCATTTCACAGTAAGAAGGAGGTCAGGTTGCAAAGGGGGGAATTCATTTGGCTGCATCAATATGTAGGCTGCAGCAAAACCACAGAACAAAATTCTGTGCCTTGCCATATGTGACCAGCCAGCCCTGGATACAAACCCAAATTCCTTAAGTATCTATACCCTTCTCTTATAAGTTCTGCCCATAGGCCTCTTCCACCTTAACAGCCTCTTCTTAGAACAATAGGTTAGATTGGAATTCCATTTTGCAAGGTAGGTGGATCATAAGACACTTTCAAAAATATCTAACACACTCTTCTGAATTTATAATGTACTATATACATATATATTATCCTCTATTTGCCTAGCCAATGTGAAAAATGAGGGGTTTTCCTTTGCCAACCAAACTATCAGAGGAGAAGCCTTGTCCACCCCCTGCTTCCTAATTTGATTCAATCAGAAGTTATTGAGCACCTACTATGTGCCTAGAGCAGAGCCAAGTACCCCAGGAGCAGCAAAAGCACATGTGGCCAGTCTTCTGACTTTTGAACACCTTTGAATCCTTGTTGGAGAGAAAAGAGATATGGCATGATTAGAGAGCAATGCAAAATAGAAAATGAGTGGGGAATCCAGGTGATCCAGTGCCCTGGTGGAATGTGGGGAAGCCGAGATGGACAAAGGGCTCTGTAGGCCAGAGTTGTTGAGGACACTCAATGAGGTAGTAGGACCTAGGGTGAAATTTACCTTTCTTTTCCATTTACACTGATTTCTACTTTGTATCTGTCAAAATTCTACCGAGCATCATGCCCATGGAATAACACTTAATTCAAATTTGGGGTTTCCCAAAGTGTACTGGAAGGCTCTGCTGAGGCTGATGAAATTGCCTGGGCCCTCGGTGCCCCATAAAGCACAGTTAGTGAGGGCTGCCCATGCAGGCCAGAGAACTAAGGATAGCACCACGCAGAGTAAAGAGGCTGTGTTAGGCAGCTGACAGCCCAGGGATTACATGTCAGCTGTTCTTCAGCTTGGAGCCATATTTAAGTTCTCCCTTTTTCAATTGTGAAACAGGGATAATAAGAGCACCTATTTCCTCAGGCTGTTGTGAGGATTAAATAAAGTGGGTATTTTATGTGTATGAGTAAAATGAGTATCTGACATATAGTAGATGCTCAGTAGCTACTCACTATTGTTATTCCTCTTTCATTTGGAATTCTAAACTGTTATTCCATTAAGGAACGGTGTCCTAGGGTCTAAATAGGGTATCAAGAGCATATAGACTGTACTCACCTGTTGATGGACAACCCAGACCACTTGACTT